AAATTAGTATGTACTCCCACAAACATCAATGAGATTGTCATATATATATTTACCACTAATGGTAAAAAGGCACATCCAGAATCTCAACTGTATTTTTAACATGTTTGGTTACTAACTCAAAATTAGCATTTGTGGTGCTCAAGTCAAACACAAAAATGAACATTGACTAAAATGCTATTTAAATAATCCCATATTATTGAAGCTAAGTACTTTTCTCCAATCGAGATAACACTTCCATTTTGTCAAAGCTTGTGGCAAACAGGATTTACATGGGGCATTAAAGATCTTAAGATCTGTTTGGTTCTTTCGTAAAATGAGAATTCATATGTATGTCATCGTTGTTATATTTACTTGACTCCAATATTTCAAGGTATTTGTAAGAATTGGACAGCTGAGAGCTATAAAGTTTTGTTGACTCCTTGTGTTCAACTAACCGACTAAGGACCAGACTGAATTAAAAGTTAGAATTCAATTCTGCACCTCCAAAGGAAATAAACTGAAGTTATTATTTGACGTCAAAAGAAATAGATTATTGACCAAAAAAAAAGTTAGGTGGTTCTTGAGCATTATAAAAGTTTGAATTTTATAGATACCATGCTTGCGTAACTAGGGCTGTTTCTCTTTGATGCTTGGCCAACTGGTACGCAGTTACTAGTTTGCATGATTGACGAGGACGTGATTGATCATTGATTTATACTGAGAAAATTTACCAACATTTTTTAACAAAAAAAAAAATATTTTTTAGATTAAGACAGATTGTTAGGAGAATAAGAGGTTTATCCACAAAGGAAAGATGTGAATCTTGATGTCTATGTATAAAGATTTTTCAAAGGAGATAAGGCCCTGGATGTTGGATAAATTTCAACCGATCACACAGCACATTGCAGTTTATGCATCGATTGAAAGCTAAAGAGGCCATTGTCGACAGCATTTCATGGCAATGCCAAAGTTCCGTCCAGATAACATATCTAATGGTTCCCACATGTAATTTTCTTGGGCTACATGAATTGAGATACACGAGATATAGAGCCATGAATATTTATCAAGAGGAAGAGATGGACAAATAAAATCTTTTTGGTTAAATAATTTGCAGGCGAAACAAAATGTGGATAATATTTTGGTTTATGAGCAAAATATTTCTGGCAGGAAATATATACCACAATATTTATAATATCAGAAAATCTTAATTGCAAAGGAGACCTCGGATTAATGGCTAATCAATTAAGATCTCAAGATTTAGAGGTTCTGAATTCTAATGCTCTTCTCTCCCTCCCCATTTCTTGAACCCCACTCTTTTCTTGTCAGCCAAATTTTTTTTTTTTTTTAAAAAAAAACTTAGTAGAAAAATATTCAGGTCATTCTTACAAGTAGAAATACATAGAGAGGAAGAGTATTGGAAGCAAAAACAAAGGACGGTCACAACTAACTACCACACCTTAAAAACTTAGGACAGCAGCCTCATATATGAAAGCAACTCTACCATGAATCCCAGTACTAAGCTCGATATCCATTATCCAGAGAACTAATCTAGGATAGCTACGCACGTGCGTTCCCATTAAACGACGACCCCTCGAGGTCGAGGGAGAAACCTCCTTTCAATTTTTCTCTTGTCAATAAATAGTTGAGAAGCAGTAGTATTATCAATTTCACATAGTATACACAGAAGTAGAAAGAGACGCCAACTGACCGCCTGTATGCAATGATGCAAGCTACTACTGATCATGATTATGTTGAATCATGTGTCTTATTAACAGTGTTCTTATATATATTTTTTTTTTATTTCTAATTAACAGTTGAGTAACAACTCTTGATTCAAATGCTTTTCCCGAAGATAAATTATCTTATTTAGTTCTTCAACTATTTGGCCGATTTACGATTGCAATATCTCCATCGACTCCACAAACTCTGGTGTCGAAAAAGCTACTGAATTTTTTTGTTCGGTGTTTCACTTTTTGAACTAAGATACTACTACTTTTCTCTCGTTTCACCATATTCGCATAGACTTCTAGAACACTAAAGACATTATTATAAGCTACAGCTCAAGTCAGTTAAAGTATTTTTTTTTTTTTTTTACAAATCAGTTAAAGTATTTTAAGACTGCTTGATCTAACTGTTTCCGTTTAAGCGTAATGTATTTGTTAATGCATGTATACCTATTTGTTTATTATGCAAGAGGGAGGTCGTTCTCTATTCATTTTACTGCATGATCTTAAAGAAGAACAAGAAGTGGGGAAACGCAAATGTCACCATGAAACGTCTTTTCTTGACAAGAACAATGGTAGTTTGCATGATGAATATATACCAGCCCTTATGGACTGTAACCTTAAGCAAAGAAATGATAATAATATCTTCACCAAGAAAATAATCCAATCAACCCCGTTTACGATTAGACATTTTTAGTTAAAAAGAAATAGTTTTCACTACCTGAAAGGTAGCGTCCTATTACAGAAAACATGAGGTCGTTCTTTAAGATTGACACCGCAAACAGATATTCGTGACTATGAAAAAAAGGGCTTGATCACAGGCTAAAAATAAAGGTATTGATCATAAATTTAAGATAGAGGAGATTCGTGGTGGTACTCAGCTTACTTTATACACAACTAGATAGATAAAATTTAACAGTCAGTTTTTCCTGTGTTGCAGACTTCACTTTAAAAAAAAAAAAAAAGAAATGAAAAGAAAAAAAAGAAAACGCAAAAGGAAACTGTGCCTGATGTTGCAGCTATAACACTCTATTTTTGACCTAGTGAAATGGTCGTGATGCTGAAGAAGATGGTTATGGATAAAATCAAAGAAGCAACCTCAATTAGTGGTGGATTTGTGAATGAATGAGACCCTTAGATACTGCCTGCCACTGAGCTTACCAAGCATGTCGAGCGCTCATACGTCAATCCACCACTGATAGTAATAATGCTACGCAATAAACCATTCCTTTGCCGACGGTATACACCACAAAAAATGTGCTTTTAGGTGACATCTCCCAAAACTCACGGGCTTCCACTCATGCATTCGTCTGGGATTGGATGAGTTGACATGTACTAAGAGAAAGAAGAAATGAACTTTTTAATCTTTTCTGTTATTACATGTTTTGAGGTCAAAACGATTTGGCATGAGCAGGGATTACCAATTCTTAGCATCCACAACTGGATATAGAAATAGAGTATGGGGGCCTCGTGGGATTTCTACCAAACAGAAGCAAGGCCACAACTAACATCCACAAAACCACATGCATGCTGACAATCTAAGACAGCACCAACTTGTGGAACTCAACAAAAACAACTGGAAAAATGTTATGATCCGTATCAAGAACCTAACTATCCATGCACGTGTGCCTCATTAAATATTGACCCCTCAAGAAAAAGACCCTTCTCTGCCTCACTAATGAATAATTGAGCAGTACCGTTTCAGTCTGCACCTTACTAGGTGTCCTTGGTTCTCTTCTTCTTTTCTTTTTTTTTTTTGTCGATACGATAGCTTCCTATATTTTATGGGGAGGGGCGGTCTGAAGAGGTTCTGGGATAACTCAGAGGGGACTGAACTACCATCAGACCAGACGAGTGCACTACACACCCGCCGGAATTTTTTAAACAAGGTCACATTTAATTGTGACAAATTGGTAGGAGGCAAGCCTTAATGCATTGGTGGTGGCCGGCAGCCTTTGGGCTGCTGGTTTCCTTGGTTTTCTTCTAGAGTAACGGCCGAAAGTGAAGCGCTTGAAAAAGACATCAACTGTCTGGATACAATGATGCACCGGATGTCAGATATGAAATTGTAACAGTAATTAATGTACATGTCTGGTAACAACTTCCTGAGAATCTGAGGAAGAAATCCAATGTACTCGACTTTTTATCCAAATTTCTTCTTGGATAGGCGATCATTATCTGACTAAAGATACCAAAAGTTTCATGACAACAGAGTCTCCCTAAATTGAAACTGAATATGGCCTCCTAATGCATGCAGAGGATGTTGATTTTACGGAACCGAACAAAGAAGATGCAACATCCTGGAATCGACAAGACTCGAAATGTGGCTAAGGTTTTACATATGCAACAACTTGCAACACAGTCCAATAAGTTTCACAGCTTTCACCACAATTACTGATAGTTCTTAGTAAAACATATCAACAAGAAGGTTAACGAGCCTTTGAATGACCTTCACATTGAAGAGTATGCTAGAGATATCAGCACAACTCGATGTCCTAAACGCATGATTAATATTTTGACAATAAGAAGCTTATAACTTGAAGCTGCATCCCAAAGTATTCCGATTGTTATAGAACTGTAATTTTTCTCAAGCTTGAAAATTTTTTGCGCAGTCGATTGATACATTTGAAAACCATGTGCTTGGCTCCCTTATCATTATCCTTTAAATTCTCTTCGTAGCTTCTTCTTCTCTCTGAAAATTTTCACTGCCTTTCGAATATCTGGCCTGCCAATAGATTTCCATTAAACCTAACATGGTTCCCAACTTTCATGAGTGCTCACACTCCCAGCTAGCTCTCTTCTGGTACCACAAGCACAAGCTTATCGCCAAATGTCACTTGTGTATTAGGAAGACCATCTCAGCACAAGGCTTATCCGGGGTTGTATTGATGCCTTTTGGAAAGAGCCGACATGTAACATTGCATGTTAGCATCATTTTGTTTGGCATTAACCACAGAAAATCATCAATATTCTCTTTGATTTTCAGGGGTGTTCTTTATTTGCCCATGTACGTCAGAATCCATCCTTGTGACATACTATTTAGGTACTGGTATTCAGTGCACAGTTAGGAGTGCTTAGACCAGATTATCTTCAAGTATAAACCTTCAAATCTATAATATGGAGCAATTTCATTTCCTTCATATACGAGCCGCAAATCTGTACCATTGTAAATAATACTATTAATGAAATTGTTAACCTATAAGTTATCCCATATGATATGACCAACCCACTACAGTCCTTCGCTGGCAAAGGCTAGAGCAACGTATGCCAATAAAGATGGAGCAATTAAACAAACCGTTGTTGGAAACTAAGCTAAACCTGTATTAATTCATAGATCATCAGTCATGTACTACATATGAAAGGAAATAGGAACAGTGCTGAAAGATGCTTTGAGACAGAGGAACTGAGAACTACAGCCTAAACCACCACAGAAACATCACAGACAGATACCTAATTCTAGAAATTCACATCAAACCTACTTCGGTCTTCAAAAGTTATGGTAGACGTGCAGCTCACTGCTGCACAAGTTTTCTGACATTAGGCCCGAGCAATCCTTTTCCTGTGACAAGAACCAAAAAAAATATCATTTTTGAGTATTTTTCAGAATTTACAAAATACAAATGCATCTACAAAATGAAACTGTGACACTAGCTCCAACCAAATATCAGACAAATATCAGATGAGAGAGAGCGAACGTTACATAGACTACTAATGGTCAACAGAAAAATAGGAAAGCCAGAAGTTCCTTGTCATCATGGACATGAATGGAGAACAATGGCAAGATGTTCAAAGATGCTCTATAACATGAAAAGTTACTCCACTATAATTCTAAAAACTCATTGTTTACCAAGGCGAACTAGGTTAGTAGTTACATATCAAAGGCGCTCAGCACACCTATTCTGTCTTAAACTCTGAATTAATCTGGTAACCTTTCCAGTGAATTCTAGCAGAGTTGTTGAATCAGAAAACATTAAACAACATTACATCTTTCTTACTCGTTACCAATATCAATAAAACCAAAAACAAAAAAAAAGTACTTCTACAGTAAGACAAACTTTATAGCGTTGCTTCCGTCTGGTTTGGGCCACTTTCGTCCTTTTTTCTCCTTTCTCATGTCTCCTATAAACAAAAAACAATCATATATGTATGAATGGAAAGGAAAAAAGTAATTCATTCCAACTTTAAAAGGAAAGGAAAAAAGTTTTCTTCCAATTATTCGATAAAATCCAGAAACAAGTCTCAAAGATAGGATACAGAAAAATGTAGCTCTAAAAGAAGAGAAAGAATAAAAAATTGACTGCAAACTGTTCAATAGATGAACCAAATTAAATTTCTACCTCCCCAAAGATAAAGGCAGACGAGTTTTTCCTTATTCTAAAGGAAACTGTTATTATAAAGGAAACTGATCCAAGGCAATCCTTGCACAAGTTCACATTGAAAATGTGTACCTTGCACAGAAGCAGACCAGCAACTTTGTTTAATTACATGCTTCAATGTTTCTTGCTGCAGTACAGTATGCTTAATGATAGTACTTCTAGGATAAGAATATCCATCTACATGCTGGTCTGCAATGCTGATTCTTTTAATCTTTTGTCCTATATCTCTAGTCTCCTCAGCTACATTCTTCACTGATTCTCCCTTTCTGCCTGTAAGTGCCATTTCAGAGCAAGAAATTGTTCCTGAACTAGAGAAAATAATTGAAAGGTCCATACATAACAATAGTAATGGCATCAAGTTCAAAGGTTACATCTCCACCAGCATAAACGCAACAAACACTGGGGACACAATCAAGGGGAAATCATGGACGAGATGCAGCAGTCAATGACAGGAAATGCAGCAGAAAGTATAGCACAATAGCAGAAGTAATGAAAGCGTAGCAAGTGTTTCATCACCAATTCCACACCTTAATTGGCACATGATATACTAAAATCTTAAAATGCCTAAAAAACCAATTACAATCATAAGGGTTCATATAACACACTTGACTGTATGAAGTTATTATTCACTTAAAGCCAAGCTTTTGGATAAGCAGAAAGGTTGATTCCATTACTGGGCTTTAAACAATGAAGTTCCTATGGAACAAGCTTATTCTTGTGCCAGGTTAATTACAAAAACATGTCTCAGTTAAGAAATCTGCAGAAAGGTTGATTCCATTACTGGACTTTGAACAACGAACTTCCCACAAACAAGCTCATTCTTGTGCCAGGTTAAGTAGAAAAATATGTCTCAGTTAAGAAATCTGCAGAAAGGTTGACTCCATTACTGGGACTTTAAACGACCAAGTCCCCACAGAGGAAGCTTATTCCTGTGCCAGGTTAATCAGAAAAACATGTCTCAGTTAAAAAATCTGCCAGTAACTTTTCCAACTGTAAAATTTTCAGGCCTGCATTGCAAACTTTTTTCAGAATTCAAGCATAGTAGAGTGCAACAATAGATCCACATAATGCATTGGCCAACACAGCTCTCTGCGGTATAATACAATGTAATCCAACAGAAGTTGAGTAAATTATGAAATTCCTGTATTCCAACAAATCAATTAACAAGGTACATCCAACACAGAATCATCACAAATCATCTTTGCACGCAAGGCAGTGGTTCAATACTTTCCTATTGATGAAAAAAATGTTCCAAACGGCATGAAAAAGATTTTTCCAAGGCACAGGTAGAATCTTTAAAAGCATGAGTCCAGCATACCTGATTACCATTCTACCAATTTCAAATGAGACCAGCATATCGGTCATATCTTTAAAATTTCCTTTACAAAATTCCTACCAATTTCAAATAGATATATCCATCTCCGCTCATAATAACACCACCCCATCCCCAACCCCACCAAAATAGAAAGTAATTAAAAGAAGAAAGCTAAAAATTTGTTATTAAAGTGTTGAAGGATAATAAGAGCATCCTCATGAGACTTCATTGTCTAATTGCACCCAGCTCTCCCTTCATCCTTAACAAACTTCCTACCAATTTCAAATAGATAAATCCATCTGTTCTTATAATAACACCACCCCATCCCCAACCCCACCAAAAAAGAAAGTACTTAAAAGAAGAAAGCTAAAAATTTGTTATTAAAGTGTTGAAGGATAATAAGAGCATCCAATTGAGGCTTCAATGTCTAATTGCACCCAGCTCTCCCTTCATACAGTCTAATGGATTTCCCCAAGTTGCTCCACCTTAAAGCTTTTGCATTCCTAACACACTTTCAAATTTGAACTCAAAACCATACTTTGCAAGCTAACTAGCAATTACGGAGATGACCAAGGCACATTTGGCATATGTCTAGCATCAATTGTTAAACTTGGGGTGTCAGGTTGTCCTGTATACATGGAGATCACACTAAGTACCAACAGTACACCCTAGAAATTATTAATAGTATACACGTACCGCTTAATAATACATAATTAAATTCACAAAGACAAGATAACACACCATTTTAATTACATCAGAACCAAAATTACCTGTAGCAGGACTGACAGCATGAATTGGAGAACGAAGCCATGGCTGATGAGTGACCAATGGGGCATACATGTAACAATCAGACTTCATGTAATCCTTAACCTTTCCAAACATATCTTCGTTTTTCACCTCAAAGGGTTCATATGCCTGAATCCCTAATGCAACAATATAATATTTCATTCAACCCCACAAGCCATACTTGAATATATATATATATATAAATTCCAGATTAAAGAAAGAAGTAATCATTACTCAACTTACCTGTAGAGGTAGTACAACATGAGTCAACATGATCAGAAGTCTGAGAGGAAACTAAGGGTGCAAACATGTAAACATCTGACTTGAGAAATTCTAAAACTTTCTTCAGCTTATGCAGCACTTTCTTCTTCTTGTTGTCCCATTTTGTAAGCTTCTTGTTGTAAATTGGAACAAAAGAAACCACTTTCTTGGCCATAGTTTCGATCATATCCAACAATTCCAAGGAATTTTCGAACACAAAGTTGTAGATTACGTGAATTTGGTGCTTAAAAGTCTAGAGATTTGGTTTCTGTTTATTCAGTTTCTTGCGCTTTTCTACTTCTAGGAAGTTGGGGGCGGTTAGAAACAGATGTCAGCAAATCCCACCAACAGGTGGCAGCACAGTTCTAAGTCCCTGAGTTCCCACTCTTTTGCTTGGATATTATCCACAGACGCATTTATAATTTTTTTTTAAAATTTGCCAAAATTACTAGTGGACCACTTATTTTGATTTTTAAGAGTAAATCAAGATATTTGTTTTCTGCTTGTATCTGTAAAACTTAAAAGGAAATATATTCCTGTACTCGGTCGTAATTTTTTTGTTTTTTCTATTTTTTTGGTGGATTAATCTTTAATTTGGAGACCTAATTAGCTTTAGATCCTGAGGTGAGCCTAATTAAGAGGAATTCATGGTTGTTTCCAATTTTTGTACGACTAATTTTTTGCATATTTATTTGAGAATTTTGAGCAATTGAATATGCAATAATCATCTAATATTTCAATCTTTAAAAATTTATTTTACCTTTTCTTAGTAAAAAAATATTTAAATAAATTTAATTTCAATTATTATCACGAGTCAGAGAACGTCCTATTTATTTCACTTTACTTCTTTTGACTTTGAAGTTCTCCGCCAGCAAATCCAGAGTCCCTCCCACCGACCCATTTATGATGAGTTTGCTCCAGCTCTGTCGAGGAAAATTCCAGCCCAACAGATTTTTTTAATGGTTATCCCCTGTCCTGTACCTCCACTCAAAACGAACCATTTTCTGTTCTTTTTCTTGTATGCTTGAGAGGAATTTTTCCACTCCATTTTCGTCTATAATGAATTGTCAATTTCAGGCAGGGACAAGGCAAATTAAGGACCCTGATAAGGTTGCCAGTTGCTGGCAGACAGATTAGCTGGAGGGGTGCAGCATCACAACCATATTTTGTTTACTAGAAAGGATCCTTTTCTGCCAATTCTAATCCAGTGGATTACTACAGAAGGAAATTGTACATTAATTTGATCGACTTCTGTTGCTACTAGTGACAAATTAAGACATTTATTTATGGCTAATGGACACTCTACCTCTAGCAGATGGCTCTGCAAAAGCTGTACACAAGATGATTAATTCCTCTGAAGATTAGGAAGCAGTACTTTCATTTCTTAGTCTGATAGCATGGAGGGGAGGCAGCTAAATCCACCAAATCCTTTTTTTTTTTTTGGCATTTACAGCAAAAATTTCGGAATTGTGTAATTTGCTTTAGTAAATTTATTCTAGTAGGAAAGCAAAGGCGGAATCAATGGAAAGTGACTGGTTGAAATGCTATTTCATCACTGGAATGTATAAACGGTAGAATCGAACAAGACATGTAATCCTTAAGTTCTTTCTTGATAATTTGTAATTCAATATTTTAGGGTGTATTGACTTGAGCCAAATTCTGCCATAGCTGGCAACCTGTAAAATGAAATGCCATAATAATTTTGTCAAAAACCAATTCTGTTCTAATGCTGAATCAATTTTCTGACGCTTGAGACTGGTTTCAGTCCATGCTTCAATGCTGCTTCCCATACAACATCAATTCTATCTACATCAATTGCTCCAACTTCATGGTGAGTCCAACCTTCCAAGGAATGAACCAGCCCACCAGCATGGCATGCATGGACAACACCTCTATCCATGGTATACTGTTTTATGATAATTAAGCAGAAAACAAGAATTAAGTTAGAACAAATTAAAGACTTAGGCAATCAATTCGAGGGATTTGCGTAAAACTGCTTACCTCACAGCATCCTAGTCCTTCAACATCTTCAGGTAACTTCATAGCTGCTAGATCACCATACGTGCAGTCCCTTCTGAACCGCAGAATTGGTGGAACCACAAATTGATGAAAATGCGTCCCTGGTGGTGCAAATCTTTGCTCTCTAGGCGTAATCCACTTGCCAACAATCCATGTCTGTCAGGACAGAAGAAACTGAATTGGACCTTATAAAACGAAGGTAATACATTATTGTGATGCCAAAAAGTTTTTCTTACTCCTGTAACAAGTTTATAGGTCTTTCAGAACTTGGTTTTTAAGGTTCATAATTGGTATCATACACGGATTCTGTTAGCAATAGTTAGCTGCACAAGGCAATCGATAGAAATGATAATTCTGTGGGAAGCTACAATATCATACCTTACAGTTCTGAGCAGCTTGGTACTTTGACACTTGGACTAGATACTTCTGATATTCTGTTGGGGCTTCCTTCTGAATCTTTTGAAATCTTTCTGTTGATAATGTCAACATCTGCAATGGTGTTCTTACATATTTCAGTTCATGAAACACCCTTACTATCATAGTCAAATAGGTAGGAAATGAAATTATTCGCAGCATAACTTCTTTTTTTGTTTGGGGGGGGGGGGGGGGGGGATGAAGTTGAAGGAGACAATAAGGACTTGTTGAGAGAAATAATAAGCTTTGAAAGTGTAGTTACCAGAACTCTAACTCTTTTCCTGCACAGGTAAAGAGCAATTGCTCTTCCAAGTTTGGAGGTAGATCCGCTTAAGAATACCTCTGTCACATCGTCTGGAATCTCATTGAGAGTCACAGCTGCTGTTAGTGTGTTACCATGAACAACTCTAACTTCAAGGTCTGGATGCTTGTTCACAAACAGTGTACCACCGCCATTCAGAGCCTCATTCTGCAAGAAGATGGATTAGGAAACTAGAATAGTTAATTAAACCAAACCGTTACGATTACATATTTTTACAATTCATACAAGCATTCATTTACAATCTGCAAATAGAATATAAACGGGCAGTCCATTTTGCAGATAAAAAGCTCATTCTTGTCAAGGTTTCGACATTGTTTATCAATGGATTGAGATTACTTTGCAAAAATTTGCAAATTGTTTTGATCAAAATTTTCTGATCTAACCATCTAGATTCAACGTTGTCTTCATTAAGACAACGTCAGAATTGTTCAATATAGGCTCTTCTATTTAATTACAATGGGCTAATTTAACACTGCAGTGCGGGAAACATTGAAATGACACGAGTATATATGACACAAAACTGTATGAAATCACAGATAAATGTATGAAGGGCAATGCTGACACAATAGGTACTGTATTTTGCAGGGCCAAATTACGAATTCCTTTCTTTTATAGGGATAAGGACAAACATCTCATACTTATATGTCTTCAATTGGATTTGCCATTTCTCAAATCAAGCCACAGTAACAAACAACAACTAATGAAGATAGTTTCAGCTATCACAATCTGTACTCATAGATACAGCAGGCCATTGCATGTGGCTTCCTTAGTAACATTAACTCATGCCAGACAAGTTCCCAACGGCCCCTATTTTGTCACATGGACAAAATTTCATTGAACTTGTGAGATTGATATTACAATCTAATTCTCCTTTGACATCAAATGTTTGATGAAAACAAGAAAAGGTTTTCATTGAGCTTGTTCCCACTAGACCAGCCTACTACACCCTGCTGGTCTAGTAGTTTTCACGCCAGGAATAAAAGATTTTAAGCTTACCAAAATATCCAGCCCCAAGAAAAAAAAAACCACATTTAACAAATGAGTGATGATCATGAGACTAGTTAATTACGCAATGTCAACAATTTCAATCTCATATCTATAGTCGATATTTCTTTCACCATGCAGAAAAACTTTTGTCATGCATGAGCTAAAAAGGTGAAACAACTGTACGAAAAGTTAGGGCAATGTGACCTTATTCAATGCAGCAAGGCTGATAACTTTGACTCCCAATCTATTAGCCCTTAGAATAGCCTCCTCAATGTGTTTATTAATGCCATCAGCGGCAAACGGTAAAAAGTACTGCAGAAAGAAAGAAACACCCAAATCAGGGATTTTCCTGGATTCAGCAAAGAATGCTATATATCATCAACTGAACTTAATAAATGATCACAAACCTGAAAACCAAAGCGAGGAACAGACCAAGTTTGATGCAGCATGCCTCTGAGCTTGTAGAAGGAGACCAAGAAAGTTTTGGACTTAGCCCACATCAGAAGCATTACGACAAAGCAAACTGGCAACCAAGGGAGTAAGATAACTCTAGTTGTGTAGGGCATGGATCCATATGATCTGAATACAAATTGGGCGTGCATGGCTGAGGTCATGTCCACCACATGAGCCAAGAACACAAAGTCTGGCACCCTAGAATTTTTACCTGCATTGGAATTCATGTCTGATCAATATCAACTAGAAGTTGGTGAATAGTAATTCCTGTACCTTTGCCTTACTGGATAATAAAGAGAGTAGCAGGCTGTACAAATAGGTTATGTATGGACCTCATATTTATTGTTCAAAGTTACGCTTTTTCTTAGTACGCTTTTTCTGATAATTGATTTGTTTCCATTGTGGCTTGCTCTAGATTTGGGACCATTAATGAATGGCATACTACTCTTTCCCACTGAATTTGTTGTTGCCAACGAGAGTCCAGTCCTCTTGGGGTTTTTTCTTAATTTTTTCGGTTATAATGGACATTTTCTGCTCTGGTACGAGAAAAAATAATCAAATAAATTCTCAAACTTTCAAGAGGAGGCTCGGTGGATCTAAGAATCAGAAGCCTTGAATCAAATTCCTCTTCCTGCTTCTTAAATCCCTTCCCTCCCATGCCAAAAGAAATTAAAACAAAAACTCTCAAACTTCCTACAAATATAATGGGCATGAAAAGGCAAAAATATTATCCCATCATGATATGTTTTTGAAGATTATACCTGCGTCTAAACTGAATTTCTTGTGCATGTCCCATGATTTGCTGTTCAGGGTGTTGCCTAGCAGATCATAAATGGGCATGAAAAGGCAAAAATTGGTACCCATCTCCGTGTGGTGCAGGCTGTGATATCTGCAATGTCACCCAAAAAAAAAAAGCGAATGCTGCGTTAGTGTGGTTATCTACATCAGAATTCATGTGCAGATGCCACAGCCTTTGAGGCAGGTGCACCAATTTTTGTACGTCACTTGCTTTCTTCCAGTGCTAAAAATTTAAAACCATCTTAAAACTGGCGGAAAACAAGGACGCCGAACCCCACTTATTAACTATCCACTAAGTTGGATGGATGTATTGGAAGCTGTAGTTTCATGATTGGTTCATCAACTGCCAGTCTTTAATCTCAATAAATTACTAGGTC